ACTTTGAAGGATTTTTAGGGGTTTTTTCCCCCCTTAAATCTAGAGTTAACTTCAAGGCTTCCATAGAAGCCTTAACTCTTGTCAAAAGCAGTGGAGCCATATAACTCACATCCATCTCAGTCTAGCTCACATGCCCTCACACTGATTCTCTAGCTCACATCTCACACTAATTCTTCACAGCTCACGTCTCCTCACACTGACTCCCCACTCACTCAGGTCTCCTCACACTGACTCACCAGCTCAATGTCTCGCACTGCCCTGAACACCTCACTCATCTCTCTCTCGTTCTCTCTCACCCAGACTTCGACCCTCACCACTTCTGGCACTGGAGCAGTTTTGGGGACTACGTGCAGTGCGTCTTGGCCTTCACAGGTGTGGCAGGCTATGTCACGTACCTGTCCATTGACTCGGTCCTGTTTGTGGAGACGCTGGGCTTCCTGGCCGTGCTGACTGAGGCCATGCTGGGCGTGCCGCAGCTCTACCGTAACCACCGCCACCGGTCCACGGAGGGCATGAGGTAGGCGGGCCACCCCACACTTGCCATGCCCATCAGCACCAGTGTGCCCTTGTTGCCAGTTAGAGAAATCAGGCTGGAGTGCCTGGCCCTTTGTGTCTTGATGCCTGAGCAGGTATCAGTGTGCAGCAGACGAGGGAGACTGAGTTCTGTTGAGAGGAGAGCTGCTGGCAGGCTCTGAGGGCTGCTCCTGCAGGGCTGGTGAACCAGAGCGTTGAGTGGGAGGAAGGTGCCAAGCATGGAGAGGGAGAGGAGCGGCTCTGCCAACAGAGCAGAGTGTGCAGAGGCGTGTCATAGATGTACTCTTGGCGAGGGTGGCATGTGTTGTAGTTGCACTCCCAGTGGCAGCAGTGGCGTGTGTCAGAGGCGCACTCTTGGTGGTGGCATGTTATGAGGTAGTCACGTGGTGGTGGAGGCATGTCCTGGATGCACTTTTGGTGGCGTGTCATAGATGTGTTCACATGGTGGAGGCATGTCCTGGATGCACTCTTGGTGATGGCGTGTCAGAGATGTGTTCACATGGTGGTGGACTGTGTCACGGGCATAGCGAGTGTGCTGTCTGTCTGCTCAGTAATGGAAGGCCTGTATGAGACAGGCCCTGATGGCACTGGACCAAGCTCTCCCTGGGACTGCCCTGGGCCTGTCATCTCCGGGGTCTCTGGTATTCTCTACACCACCGTGGCATGGGTCTGTTCCTCTCTGCTTGCTCGCTTCCTCTGCTGGGGGGCTGTCCTCCCATTCTGCCATGACACGGGGACGGTCCTTGCTAGTATCTGGGCATCCTGCTTCCCATGCAGCCATGCATCGGCCCTTGTGTGGGAACCCTCCTCCTGCTTCCTCAGCACACTCGCTGCCCTGCACACACAGCATGGCTCCAGTCCCTTCCCTGTCCAGGGCTCTGACCTTCCTGGCCTCTGTCCTGGGACAAGGATCCCAAGCTGAAGGCCAAGGTGTCATCTCTCCCGCTGCTGACACTCTCTTTTGGCCCAGCGTTCTCCGCCATGGCTACTGCTGGCTCTGGTACTCCTAAGTCCTGCTGCTGTGTGGGTAACAGCCCTGTCCGAGTGCTCCCACTCAAGGTTAGCCTAATATAACCACCCATCTTGGGGTTCTGGATGCACATGGCAGAGGACCTCAGGCAGTCAGCTCACCCACCTGAGTTAGACAGCAGAGTGGCCCAGTGGGCTGCTTTGGGATGCCTGACCTCAAGCCACATCATGGAGCGAGGGGACAGGCACAAGAAGGGGTAACTGGGGGTGCTGGAGGGGAGGGTTCAAAGATGGGTGGAGGTGTGCAGAGGCAGCCAGAGGACAATCTGGGCTGGGCACTGACCCTCTCCCCCATCCTGACGGCTCCTTTCCAGGGACCTGGCTGGCTGGACCCTGGAGAATGAGCTCAGTGGAGCTGTGAGCTGCGGGCGTGCAGTGGCGGGGGCGGCATGGCCTGTGCAGGGAGGAGCCATGGATGTCCTTGGGAGGATTGGGGTTCACGGTGGGGGTGCAGAGGGAGAGCTTGGGGCACGTGGATGCATGTGGGTTCCAGAGACCTGCACACATGGGGTAGACACAGCACAGTGGCTGCTGGCTGTCACACGGCCTGGGCACGGCTGCTAGTCCTCTGTCCCCATCCCCATGAGGGCCACTGAAGTCTGAATCTACTGTGCCTGGGGTGCCCAGCTCAGCTGCAGCCACGTTTCTGCTTCATGCTAGTGGCACTGTAGTCCCCAAGGAGGCACTTGGCCGCCTCACCCTGGAGGGGGGGCCCAGGCATTGGACACAGGCAGCCGGTGACCGACCTTGATGCCACTCTGGCCAGCATTCCTGGCCCCTCATGACCAGGCTCATGGCCATGGATACTGTCCGAGTCCCTGGGAAAAGGGGGTTTTCCCAGACCCAGAGTCGCACCCACTCATACTGCCTCCCTGAGTTGGACAGAAATCCCAAATGTACTCCAGGGGTGCAGTGGGCCTCTGTGGGCTGGGGGACAGGGCTTCAGGGGACGGCTGGATCTGGCTCCAGGGCTGAGACTCCCGTGGCTGAAGGGCCTCAGCCTTGTGAATGCAGGGTCCCCACAGCAGGGCAGGCAGGGCAGCTCAGGGCCCATGTGTTACCCCTCTCTCCCCTGACCTTTCACCCTGACCTGGCCTGTGTCCCACAGCATCAAGATGGTGGCCATGTGGACGAGCGGCGACACCTTCAAGACGGCCTACTTCCTGCTGAAGGGTGCCCCCCTGCAGTTCTCCGTGTGTGGCCTGCTGCAGGTGCTTGTGGACCTGGCCATCCTGGGGCAGGTCTACGCCTTCGCTCGCCACCCCCCAAAGCCGGCCCTCCATGCCGTGCACCCCACCAGTGCCAAGGCCCTCTAGGGCCGGCCAGTGCCAGCGTGGATGACCACGGCCCAGCTGGGCCACCAACCTTTGGTGTGGGGCCAGTGGGCACCACCTGTCCCCGGTGTCCTGGCTGTCGTGGTCTCCACAAGCCTGGGTGCCCAAGAGGCAGCGAGGACCTGGCCAGATCTGTGCTCGTCCCCCAGACCAGGCTGAAGGGTTTGCACCGCAGGGCTGGGATGCTCTTGATTTTGAGGTGCCAGTAAAGCCTCCATCAGAGCCTCTGACCCTGGCCAGAGCAGAACCTGCTTACATGGCCTGGAGGAGGGGTGGACGCTGCAGGGCACAGGTCTCAAGGGATACTGGCTGGCCCCAGCCATCACCTCATCTTAGTGCCAGGAAGTGTTCTGGTGGGCCTGATGGTGCTGGGAGTGAGCCAGTGGGGCGAGGTAGTTCAGGAACAGTTCCTGGAGAGGCCTGGGGGCTCAAAGGTCTGAGAGGATCCCTAAAAGGGACACCAGGGGACAATGTGTGGCCATGGTGATGAGGGAGCAGTAAAGCACAGCTGGTGTCAGAGGTGCAGGCTTCACCTGTGGCTCACAGCAGGCCCCGCCCACTGCTCCCGCTGTCCCCAGGGAGGGGTGTGGCAGATCCAGGTTTGGGGGTGCAGGCACCCCCCACAGGCTCCCCAGCTGGTATCCCCATGCAGGGATGCTGAGTGGCCCATCTTCTAGGAGATCGTGAACTGGCCAGGCGGGTGCTGCTGGGGCCGCCCCACACTGGCCCTCAGAGTTATAGGCCCGGAGCTACCCGCAGTGGTGGGTGCAGGGGTCCTGCCTGGCCCCCAAGCAGGGTCCCCACACTGGCTGTGAGGGACCGTGTGACCCTGCAACCATGGGAGCTACCTCTCCGCTGCCACGAGCACCCGGCTGTGCCCATGGCTGTGTTGCAGATGCTCTGGCATTCTGCCTTCTGCGGGCACGGGGTGGGGCAGCACCGCCTGGGGCTGCTGTCAGGGAAGACCCTGAGCCTTTTCCTCTCTGCATTTCCTCGAATCTCCTGATGTCTGGATGAGGGCTGTGCTTGGTGCTCTGGCCTAGAAGCTGCTTTGAAGTGTCTGTGGAATGGAAGGTGCCATCCGTGGCACCCATGCTCCAAACCAAACTGTCACAGAGCGGCAGTGGTAGCCGGTATGGCGGCATCACACCCGCTAATGTGGCAGCGTCTGATCAATAAACTGCTTCAGGATCCAGTGTGTTCTTATGAGGGGCCTGGGCTGGGGTCATGGCAGCACGGCACCCCAACTCCCTGTCCCCCGCACAGACTCAGCCGTCCCGGGAAAGGCCTGCCAGACACCACAGACTTCCTAGCCCCACCCAGGCAGTGTCCCAGCAGGCTTCGTCCGGTCAGGCCCCGCAGTGACCGCAACACCAAGGGCACTCGGGACAGCTATCTGCTTGAGGGCCTGTCCACATACTCATACTCAACCTCAGTAGCAGGGAGAAGGACCTCAGGGAGGGAGGCGCTGCTGATGGGCAGTGTGGGGCTGCACATGAGCTGAGCTGTGTCCTCTCTGCAACCCTTTGCCCAGGTATGCTGGGGGAGGGGCCGGCATAACTCCGGCAGATGGGGCATGGAGCCTTGCAATGTGGCCGACCTGAGTTTGATCCCCAGCAGCCTCTATGCTCTCAGGAGCACTGCCAGGAGTAACCCCTGAGCATCACTGGGTGTGCACAAAAAGCAAAAAAATGCTCCAGGATCCCAGACGAGAGCGGATGGGGCTCTGTGGACCCTCCCCCTGCCCATGGCACTGCCCACAGGACAGCTCTGGGACACACACGCACAGATGAAGGAACCAGGACGGGGCAGCACCAGTGCCCAGGGAACTCACGTGGCCATGGCGCAGGTGGCACTTTATTGGCAGCCGCAGCCTCAGAAGCCCGTCCCCACAGGAACCCCCGCCCTCAGCCCGCGCCCAGAGTCCTGGGCCGCCCCCGTGGTGGACACTTCGCAGCAGCACTGCGGGTTTGGTCCTTGAGCCCCGGAGCAGCGAGGTGCCCCCTCCAAGGGGCGGGCTGTGCCCCTCCCAGGGCCGCCCGCCCGCCCCTCCTGCGCCCTCCCCGTGCGCCCGGGCTGTCCCGCGGGAGCGGGGCAGGGGCCACGGCGGGCGGAAACCCGGGGGGCGGGGGTCCCGCGCGCTCAGGCCGGCCGCACGGCGCGGCCCTCGGCGGCCTCGCGCTGCTGCTCCCTGAGCTCCGAGTAGGAGCGCGAGAAGGTGTGGAAGATGGACGTGACCGGGAGGGCCAGGAGCAGGATGCCGCTGAGGATGCTGCTGAGCGCCACCACCTGGCCCGGCAGGCTGCGCGGCACCATGTCGCCGTAGCCCACCGTGGTCATGGAGATGACGGCCCACCAGTAGCTGGCCGGCACGCTGGAGAAGTCGCGGCGCGCGCCCAGCTCGCGCTCGGCCAGGTGCACGAGCGGCGCGAAGAGCGCCACGCCCACGCCCAGGAAGAGCAGCAGCTGCGCCAGCTCGCGCGCCGCGCGCCGCGCCGTCAGCCCGAGCGAGCGCAGCCCCAGCGAGTGGCGCGCCAGGCGCAGCACGGACAGCGCGCGCAGCAGCCGCAGCGCCAGCCCCGCGCGCCCCGGCGCCCGCGCGCCCGCCAGCAGCGACGCGTAGAAGGGCAGCAGCGCCAGCGCGTCCACGACGTTGAGCGGCGCCCGCAGGAAGGCGCACGTGCTCTCGGCCCGCAGCGAGCGCAGCAGGAGCTCCAGCGAGAACCACGCCACGCACACCGTCTCCAGCACGAACAGGCCGCGGCACTTGGCGGAGCACTCGCCCTGGGGAGAAGGGACACGTGTTGGGGGCCGGGAGGACGCGTCGCGCGGTCCCGGCCCCACCCAGGAGAGGGCCCGATCGAGCCGGAACGCAAGCCCTGGGCTGCGCCTCTCCTGGCCGCTGCTGGCCGGAGACTGGGTCCGCGTTACCAAACCGAGGAGGTTCACGGGGGGCGGTGGGGAAGACCGCGAGCAGGCGGGGGAGGGCACGTGGCTGGCGCCCGCCACCCTTGCTGTGACATGCTGGGCTGGCTCTGGTGGTCCCCAGCACACACCCTTGGGCCCCAACCTGTTCTGCTGGGCCCCAGGCAGCCGCAGAAACAGCACGTCGCTGACACGGAGTCAGTGACTTGGCCACGGCCTCCTGTCCCACGCTTGGTGGAAACGGAGTTCCAAGAACATGGCCAGCATGCACGTTGGTCTGAGAGGGCCGAGTGACATGCCATCTCTGCCTGCCTGTGCTGTGCGCTCTGACTTCAAGTGCACACAGGCTCCTGCCTGCGGAGTCTGCGGCTTCTCTTTCCTGGGTTGAATCTCCTGAATGTTTGGAAATGAACCCTTGGACAGGAAGGTTGCACTTGCTTTACAGATTTTGGTTTTCTGTTTTGTGCTGCCAGGGACTGAACCCTTGCGGTCAGCAGAGGCTCTACTGCCCCGCCCCTAACTGCAGGACTTTGGTTCTCTCACTACTTTATTGTGTGGTGCTGGGGAGTGAACCCCAGGCCTCACACATGCAGGGCAAGTGCTCTCCTGCTGAGTTCTATCCCAGGCTCATCAGTTTTTAGTGTCAATTTTTTCTTTTTGTTTGCGAGTCTGGCTTTTGTGCCACCCCTGGAGGACCTTCCCATGACACTGGGCAGACTGCTTGATCAGTGGTGTGCTTGGGGCCCTGCAGTGTTGAAGAGCTGAGTGCAGAGGCCTCCAGACCCCAGCAAGAACAAGTGTTCCCCCCATTAAGACCTACCTCCGGATAGCCCCACCTCTGGGGTTGTCAGGGAACAGAGAAAGGTTACTGGTCTGGGCTGGGTCCCCTCTACACACTTCCCACTCCCCAGGGTCTTAGATCTGCTCTCAGTAGGCACTTCTGGAGTTTTTGTAGGTTGTGCTGTGAGGTTCAGAAACACTCTGGGATTCTGAGAATGTCAAACTCATCCTTTCATCTCTGAGCACAGAGCTCCTGTTCCTGTGCCTCCCTCTGCAGGGACGAGCTTTGTGGGGGCTCCCCTGAAACAGGAAGGAGCAGGTGCCCCTACTGGGAATCATGTCCCTCCTCTGGATAACCCCACTGCGCCTAGTATTTCAGGCTCAAATGAAGCATGAAATCCTCTGAGTCCTCGGGCCTGTTTGCCCAACCAGGAAAAGCCTGAGGAGTTTCGGCTTGAAGCTGTTTAGCGCCCTTAAATATGCAACCTGTAAGTCAGGTGCAGTCTGATCCGAGGAGCTGCAATGCCAGAAACCACCATCCCCAGAGATGCCCCATTTGCTTGAGCTCCCAGTCACAAACCCTTCTTCCACGGGCAGCCCAGGGAAGAGCAGGGGGTCACCTCGGTCAAGGGTGTTGATGGAAAGAACTGAATTCAGACTCCTGATCTGACAGGCTCGTGTGGACCACGGATCGCCAACCTTAGACAGAAGTAGGGACGGTGGCCAGGGACAGAAAGAGTGCTGGTGTCCAGTGCCACAGCTGACTGAGAAATGAGGTTTCCCCATGCGACCTTGGCTCCTCATGTGGACAGACACCTTTGGACTGACCGTGGTGAAGGGGCACACACAGCTGCAACCCGTGCATCAGTGCCAGCCTGGGGGCGAGGGCAGGTTCCTGAGGGGCCCACATGCCATTGGGGTCTTGGGGGAATACAGGAAGAGCCCTCTCAATCTGTTGCCTCATGAAGAGAAAAATCTTCAGACTCACAGCTTCTATTCCAAGCCTCTGGGCTCATCCTTTTCTTTTTCCAGACTGAAGTATAAATTCAAAACATCCCCTGTGTTTTTCCTGTCAGACGTGTGTGGTGAGTGGGGGAGCACGTCCCGAGGCTATTTATTCCCTGGCACTTCAGCTGGTTCCCAGGTATGTGCTGGCAGCACGGAGGCCCAGGGCTGGCCCGGCCTTCAGCAGCCCCCAGAGCGACCTCTTTCAGAGTCCTGCACCAGCCCTGTCTCTGCTGGCACCGCCACGACAAACCAGACATGGGCATCTCACGCACCTTCTGGCCGACGTTCGCCCTACCCTGGGGGGGAGGGGGCACGGGGAGGCACCCACTGGGAGCAGCGCGCGTCTTCCCTCCACTGTGCCCCCAGTCGGAGCCCAGCCGGGCGGGTCCAGGCCCTCCGCGTGCTTGTGCCCCAGGGCACGGGAACACAAGCGTCACCCTTGGCCACGAGGAGCTGGAGCGGCGTGGCCGCTGCTGCTGCTGGGCTCTGCCACCGTCACCTGCGGCTTTGCCGAGCGGCGCGAGCGAGCCCGTGGCCCCGTGGCAGCCGGACCGGGAAGCAACGGGCCAGAGGAAGGCTCGGGCCTCTCGACCTGCCCAGGACGTGTTTGAGCGCGGCCACACGGGCCGCGGGGACACGCGCAGCAGCGCCTCAGAGAGGCAGCAGGCCCCAGGGCCTCCGCCCAGGGTTGGAGCCCCGCGTCCCTGCGGCACCCACGAGGGGCCCACAGTGGGCTCAGGGCAGGGGGCAGCCGGGCCACCGACGGGCCGTCTACAAGCCCGGGGCCGGGGGCTCCTGTGTGCAGACCGTGAGGGCCAAGAGGGACGCCCCGGCCGTGGCCACTGCAGGTCGGCGGTGTCTGAGACCAGCCCCAGCCCCAGCCCGCGCCCCTGGGTGCGCCCGATGCGCCAGGGCTCACCCGCTCCTCCTCGGCGCGCATGTCCGGCATGGTGCTCAGGCAGAGGCCAACGGCTGTGGCGGCCACGAACGCGACGGACACGCAGGCGAAGAGCTTCCCGACAGGGCCCGCGCGCGGGTCGTCCACCACGTCGAGCAGGCGCCACCGGCTGCCAGGCGTGCGCGCCCCCGGGCCGTCCGCCGCGCGCGCCCCCGGGCCGTCCGGCGTGCGCGCGCCCGCCCCCTCCCGCGCGCGCGCCGCCGCCTGCTCTTGCTGGCGCAGGCGGCGGCGGCAGCAGCGCTCGAGGCGCGCCTCGTCCACGCCCCAGTAGGCCAGCTCGTCGCGGAAGGCCAGCGCGCACGGGCCGCGCCCCAGCCGCAGCGTGCCGGCCCGCAGCAGCGCCACGATGGCGCGGAAGGCGCAGGCGCTGCGGTCGAAGAAGAACTCGTCGCGGGCCGCGTCGTAGTCGTCGCACACGCGCAGCAGCTCGGCGCGGCCCCGGCAGGCGCGCAGGCGCGCGAGGCGGCCCAGCGGACAGCGCGCCAGGGCGGCCCAGGCCAGGCGCACGCGGCAGCCGCCCACGTTGATGGTGACGAGGCGCGGGGGCGCGGGCGGGCGGGCGGCGGCGCCTGCGGGGAGAGACAGAGAGAGAGAGCGGGGGTCAGGGCGGGCGGCCCCGAGGAGACGAACCCGGCCACCTGAGGAGACGAACCCGGCCACCTGAGGAGATGAACCAGGCCGCCCTGAGGAGATGAACCAGGCCACCCTGAGGAGACGAGCCCCGCCACCTGAGGAGATGAACCAGGCCGCCCTGAGGAGACGAACCAGGCCGCCCTGAGGAGACGAACCCCGCCACCTGAGGAGACGAACCCGGCCGCCCTGAGGAGTTGGTCCGGCTCCCCCCCAAGGAGACGAACCCGGCCACCTCAAGGAGACGAACCCGGGCCCTGAGGAGATGAACCTGGCTGCCCGGAGGAGATGAACCTGGCCACCTGAGGAGATGAATCAGGCCACCCTGAGGAGACGAACCCGGCCACCTGAGGAGATGAACCCCGCCACCTGAGGAGATGAACCAGGCCGCCCTGAGGAGACGAACCCCGCCACCTGAGGAGACGAACCAGGCCACCCTGAGGAGACAAACCCCGCCACCTGAGGAGATGAACCAGGCCGCCCTGAGGAGATGAACCAGGCCGCCCTGAGGAGATGAACCAGGCCACCCTGAGGAGACGAACCAGGCCGCCCTGAGGAGACGAACCTGGCCACCTGAGGAGACGAACCAGGCCGCCCTGAGGAGACGAACCCGGCCACCTGAGGAGATGAACCAGGCCGCCCTGAGGAGATGAACCAGGCCGCCCTGAGGAGATGAACCCCGCCACCTGAGGAGACGAACCAGGCCGCCCTGAGGAGACGAACCCGGCCGCCCTGAGGAGACGAACCCGGCCGCCCTGAGGAGACGAACCCGGCCGCCCTGAGGAGACGAACCCGGCCACCTGAGGAGATGAACCAGGCCGCCCTGAGGAGATGAACCAGGCCGCCCTGAGGAGATGAACCCCGCCACCTGAGGAGATGAACCAGGCCGCCCTGAGGAGACGAACCCGGCCGCCCTGAGGAGTTGGTCCGGCTCCCCCCCAAGGAGACGAACCCGGCCACCTCAAGGAGACGAACCCGGGCCCAGAGGAGATGGGCCGGCCACCTGAAATGAACCAGGCCGCCCTAAGTTGATGGCCCAGCCCCCACCCCCAGGAGACGAACCCGGGCCCTGAGGAGATGAACCTGGCTGCCCGGAGGAGATGAACCCGGCCACCTGAGGAGATGAACCAGGCCACCCTGAGGAGATGTTCCAGCTTGCCCGCTCCCACCCCCCAGGAGATGAACCCGGCCCCCCAAGGAGACAAGGAGACGAACTCGGGCTCCTAGGAGATGAACCCGGGTCCTGAGGAGACAAGCCAGCCCCCTGAGGAGACGAACCCGGGCCCTGAGGAGACGGGCCAGTCTCCCCGAGGAGACGAACCCGCATCCCAGGAGAGACAGGCCCAGCCGCAGCGGCCCTGCCTACTCGGCGACCGCCAGGATGAAAAAGGCCTTTTTGCTTCCTAGACGGTGCATTGTGTGGCACAGCTGAGGCTGAGAGAAAGCCCGTGAGGCCCGTTGGTCCGGCTTGCTCGGGGCTGGATTCTCCACCAAACCCCGGAGCTCCCCAGGTGTCTTGGGTGGTCAGTTGGTCCATGGTCCCCAAGCCTAAGCTCCCAAAGCAGCGCTCAAAGGCACAAAAGCCGGTTTGCAGCGGCGGGGAAGGGGGGGGGCAGGTGCTGCCTATGTACCTCACAGGGCGCTGGGCTCCTGCGGGCTCTCAGGGTGAGGAGGGTAACGGCCACTGTGAGTCACCCAGGCTCCCTCCCTTGACTAGACGCTCGCACAAGAGATTTCTAACAGTGTGCCCTAGCTGCCTGCCAGGAGTCCATCTGTCCGGCTCCTCAGAAAAGCACAGACAAATCCTAGTTATGAGGGGCAGCGTTGGGGACCCCACTCTGGGCCTCCCCCTCAGATTGGCATTGTGTGCAGATGGGATAGCTGAGTCAGGATCCTAGGGGGAGGGGGCGTCCTGGCTGCTCCCCTCCTGACTCCCAGCTGTCCAAACTACGTGCCACTGGAGACTGATGCTCCAGCACCTGGCAGGTCTTTGCACTGTGGCAGCAGTGATAGCAAAGAAAGTAAAATTTCAGCTCCAAAGAAGTGAGAAGTTTGTCAGGCAGACCCCACCACCAGGGACCTGTCGGTGCTGCCCAGCCCAACAGTGTCTGCAGGGGAGACAGTGCCGAGGTTGGAGTGGCAGTCCTATCACCCAGGCACCTGATGATTTGAACTGTGAGGAGTTGTTTCAAAAGCATCTCCTTTTACAGGGAAAATGGAAAACCAGTCTTGTCAGCTGTTACAGAATTCTGGAAATTAAACAGTTTGCAGCACCAGAGAAACATGTGCCAAGAATACACCCTTCAAATACAGCCGCCCTCCTTGCTCACAGCTCAGGGAACCCTGGAACATGAGTGTGTGTCTGATTTGGGGTCTCTGTGGTCCCCACACAGCCACCCACGACTTGCTTTGTCTCTTAACTCGAGTCTCTCCTAGTGGCAACAGGGTGATGCTTGTCAAAAATGTTTGCAGGAATATATTTTACTGTTTCTCCCTGAGACAGGAAATAACACAAACAACAGATGAACAAAAAAGCTTAGAGGAAAGACTTGGGAATGAGGTGTTCTGGGGAATTACTTTAAAAAGTGCCAACAAATTATTGGGAATCCATCCACATACCTAAGGAAGACCCCAGAGCAAGCAGGAGTGAAAGCCAGGTGTGGGGCTGAGGTGGGGTTTAATTGCCTACCCTGCTACCCCCCCACCTTTCCCCCAAAACGGTCCATCTGCAGGACTGGATATCTTTGTTTGGGTGTTTCTGTTTGTTGTGTTTTGGGTTTGTTGTTTGTTTGTTTGTTTGAGAACTAGCTTGTTTCTGTTTGCTTTTGGACATTCAAGACTATCCAACCACATGCTGCCCACTAAGTTAACAGACAGAGATGTTAAGCAGAGACCAAAAAACAGACTTTGAAACTGGAGAGAAAATATGACTGTGGGTATGCTTTGCATGGAGGAAGCCTGGATTTAATCCCTGGTACCTCATATCCCTGAGTACCACAGGAATGACACCCTCATCCCCAAGCTGGGCTTAGCCCCAGAGCACCACCAGCCGTGACACACAAATCAAAATCAAACCAGGCAAACAAATTCAGCAGACTTCAGACAATGAGTTTAGAAAACAGGAATCAAACAGCAAGCAGAGGAGCCCTGGAGACCCAGAATGTTCAAATGTTGGCTTTCTGCAGGTAACCAGGAGGCCACTAACAGAAAATGTGCTGCCTGCCTGTGCACAAGAAAAGGTGCAGCTAAAACCGAACTATCCCCAAGAAAACCCACACAGTAGATGTACTAGACAAGGACTGAAAATCAGTCATTCTAAATACTCTCAAAGATGAAAGGAAATCATGTCTGACAGATAGAAGGAAGTTACGAGACTTACATCTCTTCAAGCAGAGACCACCAATAGGGAGGAGTGCAAGGAGTGTGTTTATTAAGATTCTGTATGTGAAATGAAAACCTGCTAGAGGGGTTCACAAGCTGAGCTGGGAATGATGAAACAAGCAGGGAGCCCTAAAGGGAGCATCTGAGATGATCTACTCTGAAAAGAAGGAAGAAAAGCAGCAAAGCCACCATCAAACCTGTCAGATACGCGAAGGGAAAGTCCCAAAAGAACAGCGGAGAGAGGAGTGGAAGAATAGTTGAACAACATTGGTCCAGATTTTTAAAGAACGATTAAAATCATTAATTTACACACCCAAGAACTCACATAACTCCAAGTAACAGAAAAGCTGTCCACTGAGACACACCATCAAACTTGAAGCTGCATTCTGCTCTGGAGAAACCCAATTCTCTCTTGATCACCTCTCCTTTTTCTCCCTCCTCTCTCCCTTCTCTCCCCCCTCTTTCTTTCTCTCTCCCCTCCACACTGCTCTAAGCAAACTATTTTGCTAAACACACACACACACATCATTTAAAGCCAACAACCCAGAGATGATCTTGAAAACAGCTCTAGAACCAGCGTGACTGGTGGGAGTGGTATGTGTGAGTGACTATCTGCAGACCAGCCAGCTCTTTACTGTGGTGCACTGCCATACAATGATCCTCATGTCCCATCTGACATCGCCACAATGTTTCACAACTTAACCACTTTCAAATTCACAGCAGGCCATCACTGATAGTCCAAGGCTGTGTTGTCTAACTCATGGAAGTTAATATCTCTTCATCCTTTTCCTTCATATCCCCCACCTAGCCTCTTCCCTTCCTCTCCTCTGAAACTGTGTGCCCAGCCACTCCTCTGTTCACTTTCAGCCACCCTGGGGAACCCCAAAGTACTCAGGGGGGCAAAGCTGGGACCCTTGGGAGGCAAACAGCCTCTCTGCTCTGTTTTCCCTGTGATATCATACTGCATAGTGGATGGGAGATGTGGGAATGACCACAGTGGATAGTAGATAAGAAGAGTGACCGCTATGAACAGTGGTAACATTGAAGATGTAACAGTGACTACACTGGATAGGAGATGTGAGAGTGATCACAGTAGAGAGATGTGGGAGTCACCACAGTGGACAGGAGATGTGGCAGTGACCAAGTAGATGGGAGGTATGAGAGTGACCACAGTGGACAATAGACAGGAAGCTGAAGTGACCACAATGAACTGTGAATGGGGGAGGTGGGAGTGACCATAGTGGGTGGAAGATGTGGCAATGACCACAGTGGGCCCGAGATGGGGAGATGACCACACTGCAGTGGATGGCACAATGAGTGGTGGACAGGAGATGTGGGCAATAAATGCACTGATCACTGGGCACCAGATGCCACAACAAACTCAGGGAAAGGGCTTATTACAGTCGGGACAGTGATGAGATTGAGCTCAAAGCCAAAACCAAAGAGTCTCCAGGAGGGACAAGAGGTGAGGAGTCAGGGTGAGTGTGTCAAGTTCTGCTTTCAGGATTCACCGTTTCACCAGGAAGTTGAGTGCATAGAGAAAATAGCAGGGCTTGAGGCACTGAGCAAGTAAAGCTCGATGCCGCCTTTAACACAAAACAGGACAAGTCCAAGTGTTACAGTCAGTGGGGAGATCAGTGCCCAGGATCACTCCTCGGGCTTCCTCTGTCATTACAGACAAGTGCTCAGTCATCTTGTTTTTAATAGGCTTGTTTTCTGTGTCAGAGCTGCAGTGTGTCTATGGCTGAACTACAGCTTGCTAATGGGCGATTTCAGTCACACTGCTGACAAAGAAACTGACGCTTATTTTTCAATGATGACTTATAACAACAGAGTCTCCAAATCTATGACACAGAAAATTAATAACTATAATATTTGTTAATACTGATCATCCCAAATATTTTTAAATGGAACTTTCCATTTGAGATGGCAAACTCTTGGGCCTAACCAAGATCTGGAACCCGGCAGGAACCCGTCAAAAACCCACAGCCTACTGAATGCCAACACCTCCCCTCAGACCTGAACCACCTCTCTTGACCCTCCACAAACCTCACCCAGCAGCCATGGGGCTGGCTCAGGTGCCAACTGGAGAATGACACATGCAGCTCACTCTGGGGGATATCTGGGTTGGGATGGAGACAACCTGGTGTTTTCCCTCCACAGCCTCTTCTCGCCTTTATACTTGCTGCCAGGCACCCTGCTTGGGGGTTCGAAGAGAGGCAGCATGGAGGTCTTCCACCCCCTTTCCCAGAAGTGAAAGATTCAGGAAGGCAGATAGAAAGTCTTCAGTCTTGTGGACAAGAAATCGCACTTGCTCTAAAGTAAGTTACAATGGAACATAACCAAGGAAACATGACATTGTCTTGTGAGAAATGGAAACCAGTGTATTTGAGTGATTCTCTTCAGCATCTCCTTGCCAGACCAGCATCTCCCAAGGATTTGAGATACTGAAGGAAAAAGTTAGGTCATCAGAGGTTCTGAGTGTCCAGACTCTGCTTTCTGAATATTTTTTATAAAATTATTCTAAGCATAACAGCCACTTAGGATGGCTCCAGTCTGACCAGCGGATGCAGGCTTTCAGAGCACTCCCATGAATCTAAGGAACGGGGCTCCCTGCCAGTGGCTGGCGCCCCAGCTGCAGGTGCCGTGCGCTCAAGCCAAGCCTGCTGTTTGCGTTGTGCTCTGGCAGGATCTGAAGTGGGAGCCACAAGAGGTTGCTGACCCTGAGTGTGGGCGCGACATTCACGCTGTGTTAGAAGAAGAAAACGGGGCGTGGACGTGAGCACCTGCTCAGCTGGATATCTTCCCAGAGGAGGCAGTATCCAAGATGCCCTGGTGTGCTCATGTAGCTAAGATGGGTCAAACATCCAGTGCCCAAGGGCCTCCAGTAGCTCCACGGAGCCTCACAACTAACTTGGAAGGCATAAAACCAAAGTGCCACAGGCACCATGGGGAGGGGCAAAGACAGCCCTGACCAGGCCTAGCGAGTGGGCCAGACTATGGCCCCCCACTTGCAGTCATCTCAGCTCGGCCTCCTGTGTTGTGGCCTTTCGGCCCACGTCAGGTGCCCAGACCTCTTCCCGGCATGCAGGGAACCAGGGGATGGAGAAAGCCCCCCACAAAGCCCAACCAAGAACTGGGGTTCTTCCAAGAGTGGGAGTTGTTCCAGAATGAGTAAGATCACAAGACTCAGTAACAAAATGATGTGAATGAACTGCAGCTGGAGTTTGACCCAAAGGCCTATGAAAGAGGGGCCAGGGAGAGAGTACATAAGGGCTGGGGCACAGGCATGCACGAGACACGCTCACTTGCTAGACCCCGTGACTCCCTGAGCACTGCTGGGGTAGCCAGGGAACCCTGGCACCACAGGTCCTTGTCCTGGGCCGAGTATAGTAGAGTGTGTCCCCAGGCTTCTGAGTACTGCCTGGTGGCCACTCCTCCCCCCAAACCTATGAAAGACAGTTTGGGGGAGCTGGGGAGATAAATCTGTGCACTGTGCAAATGCATGACTGCGAGTCTTCTCGATGCTATATGGGGTGGGCTCAGCACATTCACCGCCCTGTCTACACTGTTCGCAAACCTGCCACTTGGCACTGCTGTGGATTGGAGAAAGTCTGTATCTTCTAGTCTCTGGTGGCCAAGAACAGTGGGTTTGTTCTACAAACAGGCAGCCCCTGACTCCTCACTTCCCAAATGTCTCTCACAATGTGGGTGCAGGAGAAAACAGCAATTAGAGTTGCACACACAATCCCGCAACCACAACTGCCTGCCAGCAGTGAGACCGGCTCAGAGGGGAAGAAGTCCTTAATTAAAGGCAGGCTTGGAGCTGTGTGCCTCCTGCCGAGTTGGCTCAGCCTCAAAGCCAGGCTGCGGGGACACCGAGGGGTGCAGGCAGCCGCTCCCTCCACCCCACAGGCCTGGTCTCAGGGATGAGGGGCTTCGGAACTGGGATATGGGGGTGCCTGAGCTCCTCTAAGTGGGCACTGCTGCGCCCGGACAGTTTGGCTCACGGGTCCACCTGCACCCAGGTGCCGGCCACATGGGCCTGAACCTCGGCCAGCACAGGGCTAAGAGAGGGGCTACGGCTCAGCAAGCCCAGAGCCGAGAGGGGCAGAGCCTTAGCCAGTGCAGGGCTGAGAGAGAGGCTGAGCCTCAGTCAGAGCAGGGCTGAGGGGTGAGGGGAGCCGAGCTTTAGACAGTGCAGGGCTGAGGGGGACTGTGGGTAGCCAGGCTTCAGGGTTAAAAACAGCAGCTGAGAAGAAAGAGGAGGAGATTGGTGTTTCTGGAGGCAACCAGGAGAGAGGGAAGGCAAAGGAGGAAGTGGTGCAGGTTGAGTGGGAACAGGGAAGGAGCTGGTGAGCGCCCTCTGCCCTAGTCCCCGACTTCTTGGGGGCCCTGGGGAAAACCTGAAGCTGGGTAGTCTGGTGTGGGTCAGGACAGACACAGACTGTCTTCTAGCTTCCAGAGTCTTCTCTCTGGAGCTTGCCTGTGGAGACCGAGGGACCAGAGCCTCAGGGACCCAAAGGCAGGGACAGAAGGTCACTAGGGGTGGTAGGTAGAGCCCTCCACACCACCCAGCTTGGACCCCCTTGTGTGAGCCCTGACCCTTCCCTGGCTCCAGGTTCTGGCTCCAGGTGGCCTGAGGGACAGGTCTGGTTATTGAGATGGGGGTTGTGGGGCATCGAGAAGGGGGCACTGCTCAGACCCGCGATGTTATTCCAGGCCCACACGAAGGCCGGTCCTTACCTGTCAGGATGTGGCTCCTCCCAGGGTGCAGACTCATGGCACGTGGCCTGCCTGGTGTTGCCCACTTGCTGGAACTGTGGCCGCTTCCCCTGAAATGACAACTGGCCTGAGGACCTGGTATCCCGGGGAACCGGCCACCAGCCCCAGAATCTAAGGAGACAGGACTCGTCACTGGGTGCTGGAGTCCTCTGGAGCCCACCAGGTCCAGCCTCAGGAATTTCCCATTTGTCTGCACCCCTGCCCCCACCCACTCAAGGCACTGAAGCCAGGGGATGCCAAGGGTGCGAGTGGGAGGCCTCTGGAGGGCCCAGGGCAGTCAGCTCTGCCCACACTACCTTCTAGTCCCAGTCTTCTCTCCGGGCATGGCTGTGTCCTTTCTCACATACCTGCCAGGCGTTTCCCATCCCCCAGTGCGTGCCTGGGAACCCCCTCCCCCAGCACTTTCTAATCAGTGGACACTGAATCTCCCTCTGAGTGTCAAGCCTAAGCCTGCCAGGCACACCTCTAGTCTCCACCATCTGAGCCATGACATGCCCCTCAACAGGTCCATCTCTGCAATCCGGCCAACCCCCAGGCTGCCTCTGCAGGAGGGACAGCATCCTTGGGACTTGGACTTCCCCAACACTGGTTTTGCCAGGGCTTCCCTCAGCCCCTGTGTGACTCCCTCATGGAGGACGGGTCCCCTCACACCAGTGCAGGGTCCCAACGTGAGTACAGTCCTATCGGGTGGGCCTGACCCGTTGGGTGTGGTCTGTCAGGTGGATCTCGTTCCCTCTGCAGGGTAGGTCTACCTCAGAGGTAGACCTGGTTCCCTCAGGTGCAGAGGTGTGGGAGTTGTAGGGTTTCACTGGCACCCTCGTGGTGTTCTGTTAGCTTCTGGTCCATCTTCAAATAAAGACCAGTAAGTCTCTCAGTTGGTCTGTTCCTCACACAGGTAAGAAGACTCTTCAAATGAATTTCAACCTTTCCTCACCTGTTCTCTCCTCACTGCTCTCTTGTTACACTGCTCTTCTCACCTCCCCTCTCCTCACTTGCCCTCCCCTTCACTGTCCTCTACTTAACTACCTTCCCACCTCCCCTCTCATCAGAAACGAAGGATTCTTTCCAGAGAAGTGAGCGGAGGTGCGCTCTTCAGCACAGTGCTGGGGGGTTTTGGGAGTGAGCCTCTCCCACTTACTGGTGGTGAGCGTCAGTCACCCTGCAGCTAGAAGAATCCCCAGTGACCAGGAAGTGTGCCCCTCCTGCCAGGCGTGGCCCAGCTGCAGTGTCCAGTGGTCCGGGTGGGACTCAGAGAGCAGCACGTGCTCAGTGAGGAATCAGGGTGAGCTGGGCACAGTGTCCAGGACAGAGAGGAGTGGGGGGCCCAGGGTCTGGGTACCAAGCCTCAAGCTCCTGGTCACGGGGAAGCAGGCAGAGGGGCTCAGGACAGCAGTGCCACCTCAGCACCTCCCTTTGCCAGGGAGCACAGTCTCATGGGTCACTGGCACCCTGCAGGTAGTTGGGTCACCGAGATGTGATGTCGCGAGGCTGCCCCTACAGACCTGGTAGTCTATACACCTGCCTGCCCATGCTGGCGTGGCTGTGCCACCTGTCTGTGCCTGGTCACATGGCCGACATCTGGTCTACCTGTAATATTGGTCTGTCGCTCACATCAGCCGCCTCCCGCATGGCACTTTGATTAGCCATTTGCCACTTGAGGACACGAGTCACTGCTCCACAATCTGGGCCACACGTGGTGAGGAGTGGGCACTCAGTGTCAGCCAGCAGTTGCGCATGTGCTGGGGCCAGCAGTGTGGACGGTTAAATTAGTGTTGTGCACCCTATTCTAGGAAGTTTGGGATGATTCACCCCGTTTAATACAGTCCCTTTAGAAAGAAATCACTGATCAAGAGCAATCTGAGTAATGAGAAGGTGAAACTCCAGTCATCTGGAAAATATGCTTTTTCTGTTTGAAGCTAAGACTGGGCACGGGCCTGCCTGGAGGCTGTGTGCCTGTGGGGCCATTGGCCTCTGCAGGTCTTTTTTTGGTGGTGCGCTGGGCCCCTTGAGACCAGCCTCGGGATCCTTCCCTCAAAGCTGAGCAGAGAATCCCAGAGGGTCTCTTTTGGGCATGAAGAACCAGGTGCATGGTAGCTCTACACCCCTGTCCCAGCATGCAGGTAAGGGAAGGGGAGGTGAGGAGAGGGCAGGGGAGAAGGGGACGGGGAGGAGAGGATAGGGGAGGGGGGGGACAGGGGAGGGAAGGGACTGGGGAGGAGAGGATAGGGGAGGAGAGGGCAAGGTGAGGAGGGGACGGGGAGGAGAGTGAGTGGAGGGTAGGTTCGGCAGGGGGAGTGAAGAGGGAGCAGGAAAAGTTTGGGGAGACACTGAGGGCTAAGATGCTGATCAGGGTGGGTGCGGGCAGGAGCACTGGAGGACGTGGCTGTGAGCAGAGTCACCTCTAAGTCTGTCACCTCGGGAGGCTGGTGTCTGTGTTCTGGGAGCACAGTCCCAACCTCCCTCTGGCGAGACGCCTTTTCCTTGGAAAGTTTAAGAACGAAAGCGCCTGGGGTGTGCTGGACCCTCTGGGGGAACACGGGCAGTGGGTTCGTACTCATGTCCAGGAGGACGAGGTTCCCCGCACAGACCAGGGCCCTGAAACCTGCGCCCTCCCGAGAGAGCCTCTTCCGCCTCGACTTTGACGGAGGCTGAGTCTGCGGCAGGTCACCACGGGCAAGAAGCTGTCATCTGCCTTCTTGGTCATGACCAGAGGCTCCCGGGACGCATCCCCAGCCTAGCGAGGGAGCCCATGGCCCCACCCGGCACTCCCCAGGGTGGCATGTCAGGTTCGTGGCTTTCCTCAGACGTCCTGTTGCCACGCTCTCCCTCCCTCCACGCCGCAGGTCCCTGCCGCCCTCCAGAGCCCCTGACCCTCCCTGCTCCCACATGCCAGGGCTGCCCCATCTGTTCCCATCACTCCCACCCCCACACCTACACAGCCTGCAATAGCTGCGAAGAACCGCCCTCCCTTCATCCCTCCCCACCCGGCCCTCCTGCCCTCCCGCCACACTCCTGCCTCTTCCTGGGAGCAGGGAGCGGGATGGAAGCGGGAGGCCCGGCGGCCGCCAACTGCTCCCCAGACTCCAGCCTCCTCTGAGCAGGGCAAACCCCAGCATCTAATCATCTCCCACCAACCTGCGCGTTCTCCACAACCTATTCATTGTGGCACCTGCTCCCGCGATGAGGCAGCTCCCGGTTGGCCCTGGGCTGCAGCTCAGATCAGGAGCCGAACCGTTCAGCAGCCGCAGACTCCCGGAGCATCTGGTGAGCCTGGGCCTCCGTGCCAGGGACCGAGAGGGGGTGGGCAGAGCCTCCCGCTCCCTGGAGCCAGGAGGGATTGTTTCCCGCTGTCTTCCCTGCCAAGCCCCTGGTTTCTCTCTCAGTATGGAAATGCGGGTATAAAAAAGGCTCCTCAAAGTGGGATCCACAACCGTGAGGGGGAGCAGGCAGCACCGGATCTGTGTGGGGTCCCGGGCGAGGACAGAGACCTCGCTACTGGCCAGTCCTGAGTGAAGGGCGGCCACAGCCACCATGCCCTCCGCACTCACAGCCTGACCCCAGCAGGGACCCCCCCTCACAGCCTGACTCCAGCAGGGACCCACCCTCACAGCCTGACCCCATCACAGCCCCCCTCACAGCCTGACCCCCGCAGACCTGTGAGGCAGAAGGGCCACAGTTTCATAGACCCTGCTGGAGTGGGGAGTCCCTTCCTCTGCTTCCAACTTGGGGGGGGCTTCTGGGATTCCCCAACCCAGACCAGAAGTGACCCTCTCAGGACCACCGCCTGCAAGATGACTCTGCCCACCCACCTCCGCTGCGCCCCCAGGCTGGGTCAGGTACCCACCCCCCCACTCCACCCCCCACACCTTCGGGCCCAGGAACGGGGGATGGGGGATACTTGGCAGAATTCTGAAGGCCCAGAAGATTACAGGAGACAGAGGGAGATCAGGGTCTCCGCACGGGGTTCCCGCCCCCGTGGGTCTGCCCCTGCACCCCACTTCCAGCCCGCCCCCCAGCTCAGGTGCACGCTCGTGCAGGGGCTCCGGGCCCGCCGGGACCCGCCCGTCGCCGTCGCTCACCTGGGCTCGGGCCCCCTCGCTGACCTCTGCTTCTGGCCCGCCGCGCGACCCCCGCGTGTGGCGCCAACTTTCCCGGGGACCCCGCGCGGCCGCGGCTCTGCGGGGCGGAGCGCGGCGCCTCCGGACGGGGCTGGGACGGGGCAGGGACGGGGCTGGGATGGGCTGGGACCGCCCCGCGCGCCGCCCCCCTTCCCCCCGCCCCCCCCCCCCCCCCCCCGTGCTCCCGCCGCGCCGCGGGCAGTCAGGACCCGCCCCCAACACCCCCCGGCCGGCCGGCCTCCCTCCCCGCCGGGTCACCCCGCCCGGCCACGTCCCATGAGCCCAGCTGTGTTCCCACACCCAACCATGCTCCCCAAGGCCTGCTGCGGTCCCCCAGCCCGGAGGTATCCCCCAGCCTGGCATGAGCAGTGCTGTGCCCCCAGGTGCTGGCATGAGCTTGTCACTTCCCCAGGCACCACAGGGCCCCAGAGCCACCCAGGTGTCCCTGGAGACAGGAGGGAGGGGCAGGGGGCTCGCATTAGGACCCCGGTCTGGGAGGAATGCCCCCAATCAGTAGCTAGCTCCTGCAGACCTTGGGATGGTCTTCTCTGCAGAAGCTCGGGGACCCACTGCACCTTCTGAGCTGCCCCTCCAGGCAGTGCTGCGTGGGGGACAGCTCTCCTGCCAGTGAGTCCCTGCAAACCGTATCTAGAGCCCAAACTCCTGGCAGGCCAGGAGCTGGCTGAAGGTTGGAAGCCGCCCAGCCCGGCATGGCCCCAGCATTGAACCGTCCCCACAGTGGCCCCAAGCCCCCTCCTCACCCAGAGACCAGCAAGCCCAGCTCAAGGGCCCAGTGTGCTGGAAACAGATCTCTGGGAGCGGCAGGGGTCGCGGGGGCGGGGGGGGGGGGTGCTGCTCATCCTCCTGTCTTCCCTTCCCAGACAGACCTCCTCCCTGCTTGGTCCACCAGCCTCGCCCCATGGAACGTCCAGGGCCTGCCAGCCCAGCACTGCCCTTGCCTGCTGCAGCCTCCATTAGAGCCACTGTTCTTCCTTCCCACCCCTCCCATGCATGGCCTTGCTCCTTCCCTACCTCACCCTGAGCCCCAAGGGACCTGGCCAGCTCCAAGCTGTTGGACAGAGCAGAGCGGGTCAGAGAAGAGGGTGCCACCACCCACTGCCTGCTGAGTGTTGCCAATATCCACTTCGTTGGGGCTGGCTCTATGCAGCAACTCACGCAACTCTGAGCAACTCGTTGCTTGCCCTGTTTGGGGGATGCCAGTACCTCTTGGAGTGAAATGCGGTGACTGTGGCAAGCCCACCCGAAGCCTGTGCCCTGACCAAGGCTCTGCTTCATTTTCCATTTGCAAAATGGGAAGAAGGGGCCTACTTTGTTGTTTGCTCTGACAGTTACGGGGGTTCAGGCACCCCTAGCCCGGGGAGTCAGCTCCAGGGCAAGGCCCTTCTGAGGCAGGATGCCTGGAACACTGCAGAGACTTGGAAAGGGGAGCTGGGCGCTTGGGAAGGGATCAGGAGGCTCTAAGGGGAGCCTTGCCGGAGCCCCACAGAGCGAGGACCTCACGCTTCCCCGCCCGTCCTCATGCCTGAACACCAAGTGCCAAGGGACAGCCCCTCCGGGGACCTCCTTTCAGACATCTCCACACCCACCTCTCACCACACCCCATAGCTTCTCGGCTCAGCCATCTTGGTCCCTTTGTTGTTCTCGGTCCATTTTCAGCTCTGAAGGCTTCACTCTATATTCTGACTGTTGTGGAGATCACAGCCAGGCAGTGTCAGCTTGCAGAGAAGCAGCTGGTGCCAGAGCGATGGAGCAGCGGGGAGGCCGTTTGCCTTGCGCACGGCTGACCTGGGTTTGATCTCCCACATCCCATATGGTCCCCTGAGTACCAACAGGACTAATCCCTGAGTGCAGAGCCAGGAGTAATGTCTGAGCATCTCCGGTGTGACCCCAAGCCCCCCCCCAAAAAACTAACAAAGATGCAGGCTGAGCTCACCCTGGGGACGCTTGGTGAGGCACTCGCTTCCCTCCTGAGGAGCAGGTATGAGGCAGCACTTCCTGGACTCACATTTCCTAATGTGTGCTTCTTCCTGGACCCTTGACTCCAGTTGTCATGATTTTCCATTTCTCTACCCAGTTCTACATTCCCAGTTTTCCTCCTTCTCGTGTGCATGTGTAAGTGCGATGCGTGTGCATGTGAGTTCACATGTGTGCCCGCATGGTGCACTTGTGCTCATGCACTCGCCCTTCCTTGTGCGGGTCCTTCCCACCAGCTCCTGCTGCCCTTCTCCACAGCAGTTCTTTTCTCTGCGTTGTTTCTCTGACATGTTTGCGGCGTTTCTAGCCTTTATCTCACTCCCTGCAAAGCCCAGAGATCTGTCATCTCAGCTTTTGATGGATCAGACACTTCAGTTCCCCTCACAGAAGTGCGTCTCCTTTGAGCTTTCTCTCATGTCTGCTTTTCTCATTGCTCTGACTCCCCCCCCTCAGCTGTCCGGCTCTCCGCTGGAGACCCTACTTGGCCAGAGTCCTTGGGCCCCAAACTGGGCAGCTTCCCCTGAGGCGGAGTGCTGGAGGGCGTAAAGGGGGTGCAGAGAGCCACTCGGGCGCTTCCTCACCTCCCAGCTGTTTACAGGAAGCAGAATTTCATACGAATTGCACTTTACTTCAACTAAATGCATTTGTGAGCTCTGGCGCTAGGTGTGCTGGTGTGGGGTCTCTCTCCCAGCGCCGGCACTTGGCTCTCTCAGAGTCTCGGCAGGGGAGGGTCCCGTGATGGCTTCCCTAGCCTGAGACAGGAGAGCAGGGCCTTTCCCGAGCCCGACTTCCCTTCCTCACAGCAGCCCCTGCCAGTCCAGGCGCCCGCAACCCAGGCTGCCTGCGGGGGTGGGCTTCTTCCATAGTGCCTCTTACTAGTGCTTTGTTGTTAGGAGATGTTCTTGTCCCGAAAGCCTCACATGTGCCCTCAGGAGTGGGACGCAGGATCCTGTGCTTATGAACTTAGTGTTTGGTGTCCCTGTGCAACACTCCTTGGAAAGCCTCCTGCTGGGCGTGGAGACACTTCCCATCACGGAGCCGCTGAACCTCTGTGATGAGATGACGGTTCCTGCTCTTTCCTCCATGACTGGACATTCGTGGCGTTCTCAGTAGACTTTCTCTGGCCTCTGCTCCGAGTGGAGAGAGAGCTCAACAGCTCAGGTGCTGAGGACAGATGCTCCAGTCTCCACTCTGTAGGTCTTGTTCACACAACCTGGATGTCCCTTACAGGCACTTTGCAGGGAGCTGTGCTCTGAAGTGGACTAGAGCGATAGCACAGCGGTAGGGCGTTTGCCTTGCACGCAGCCAACATGGCCGACCCGAGTTCGATTCCTCCGCCCCTCTCGGAGAGCCCGGCAAGCTACCGAGAGTATCTCGCCCGCACGGCAGAGCCTGGCAAGCCACCCGTGAGGTATTCGATATGCCAAACACAGTGACAACAAGTCTCACAATGGAGACGTTACTGGGCCCACTCAAGAAAATTGATGAACAACGGGAGGACAGTGATAGTGACAGTGCTCTGAAGTGGAAGGTTCTAATTGCAAGCACCTTCCACAGTCAGCTACCCACAGCCGACTCCCCGCTCTGCCTCAGCTTAGCCTGGAAACAGCTGTGACTTCTCCCCACAGGAGCCCCCGACCCGCTCCCCCACAGCAACCCATCTCAGTCTCCACAGAAAGCTGGCATCCAGCCCTGAGAGGCAGGGGAGAGCTGTGAGGAGAAAACTGCAGCCCTGTCCCCTCTGTGACCCCAAGAGGGGGAGGAACAATCTGGATGGGTCAGAACTAGCAGCAGGTGCCCCCGTCAGAGCAGCCAGGAGCCAGGGAAGCCTGGTCTTCCTGCAGAGCACAGCAGAGCTAGTGGGAAGAAGAGCCCAGGCAAGCCAGGACCTCCCGCAGTGACCATCCCCAGCCATCTGGCATGACCCTCTGACCTCAGAGGGTGGCATCCCACAGGGAGAGAGTGGCCAGCTGCCGTTCTCCCTGGCACTACGGTTACTGTTTGCTAACAGCACTGTCACCACCACCAAAACACCGTGACACCACCCCCTCCACCACTGCCAC